ATTGGTCTGCTGAGCAGCTGGTGCCATTGTGCTGCTTACTGCTTGTTTTTTCCAGGCTCTACTGGTGCTTGAGTTAGGAGACTTGACTTCAGTATGAGCACATCCACGAGAGCTAGACCACACCGGGTCTTTAGCTCCTCATGATGTCTCGGTATCGAACATTCCCAGTTCCTTGCAGTTTGGCACTCTTGGTGCCATGGCAGACTTTGCAATGGGGATAGTTGGGGTTATTTTTAGGTGAATCTTGCTGCTATGAAGAGTGAGACTGCTTTTTTTGTTGCTTTTAAAGGAACAGAGTCCTTAGTAGCAGTTTTTGAGGAGGATTCCATGTCTGAGGCAGGCATAGGTGACCCATGGCCAGGAAATATTCTAAACTCTGGGTCAGAGACTAGTCCGAGATATTTCACCATCATCAGGAATTTCAACTGGAGATCTCTAACTTTCCTTTTCCTAGCTGTCAGTTTTTTGCAGTGAGGATGCTTTTGAATTATCTGTATCACGCCCAGGTAATGGATGCAGTGTGTGTGACTGCCATCCAAATTTATACCATGTGTCTTTTAAAAGGGTAATAGCTCTTCCAACATGATATTAGCGCATCAGCAGTATGAATCATTACCTAGCAGAGGAACTTGCGATAACATTTTATAATACAACTCATGTAAATTCAGCATATATTCTCTTCCTCTCGTAGATTTGTTGGTATATTTCAAATACTACTTCTGAGTGAAACTTTTACCACATTTTATACATTTACAAGGCTCCTCTCTTGCAAGGGTTTGCTGATACAAGACAGACAGTTCAGGATGGGGAAGGTTACTCACCTGGTGCAGTAACTGGAGTTGTCCCCACATCATCTCAAAGAACACTTGTTATTGCCCGAGGGGGGAAACTGGCGGTGGGGGCACGATTGTATCATCCAGAGATCATGAATAAATACACGTAAGTGGGGGATGAGTCGGGTGTCTGGTCATCGCCTGTTATATCCACGTCCTCTGTCACCACATGAACTGGAATAGACAGGAGACTGGGCTGTAGCGATGGCTGTTGTGGCTGCTGTGTTTTGTAGGCTGCCCATGGGTCCCAGTATGGCCAGCTTGGTGGGATGTGTGGTGGGAGCCACTGTGGTGGTTGCCACTGCTGTATCTGCTGCGTGGACTTAGGCAAGGAGTGTCTAGGCACGTGTGCCTGAATAGGCTCATCATCGTCACCATCACTAGATAATGATGGGGCTGAGGCTGGGGTGGATGAGAGACTGAACCTTGATGTGTACGGGATACAAGGGTGTTCCCAGCACCAAAGAAACGGAGGGCTCTGTGGTTACCTGCGGTACTGGTGGAGGGGGAAACGGAATGGATACCAGTGAGACTTGTATCACTGGCAGGCTGGGCTGAGACGATGCCAGCTGTTTTGTGTGCACCACTGGAGTGTTTTGTGGAGTGTTTATTCGGTGCCGACATTCCTGCAGGAGTCTGCGTCGTGGTGCTTGGTGCTGCAGATGAGCGTGGTCTGGTCAGTGCCGTTGCCAAAGGTGTTTTGACCTTTTTGCTTGGTCTCCATCAGTGCCTTGGAGGAGGAGGAATGGACCATCTTCTTGGGGTCTTGGTTCTTGTTGGTGCTGGCTCTATTAGCTGCCTGTTTTTCTGGCGCTTTAGGTGCTGTAAGTGCTGAGGCAGATTTTTTATGGAGAAAGCACTTCCTTGAGGGGGACTCAGTTCCTAAGGAAGAATGCGATCTCTTTTTGGGCACTTGAGCCCTTTCATGATCTTTTGGGCTCAACCAGGTGGGAGCCACTCTCTCTAATGTCTCTCTGGGGGATGGCTGCCTGGGCAGTGCGTTATGCTCAGGATGAGAGACAGGACAAGAGATCTTCAGCTGAATAGTTTTTAGCTGGAGTTATCTAGACTCTCTCGTTCACAAAGTGATTTTTTTTTTTGCAGTGGGAGCTCTGATCTGTCGAGTGCTCCTCACCCAAGCAGCAGACATCATGTGAGTGTCCTTCTGATATGGCAATGGAGAGTCTGCAGTTCACATACCTCTTAAAATCAGGTGAGCCAGGCATGTCCCAATGAAAGAAAGTTTAAAGTGGTTGCTGCCAGATGGCCCCGCAAAAGTACACTACCTACCTAACTACACTATAACAATGAGGGAAAGATTATTTTTAAAACTATTACTATAGAACAACTAATAATGAAAATGAATGCTTAAGTCTTAACTATTAACAGTATCTCTTTTCAAATGAATAATAAGGGCGACTGCTAAACTGTGACTGAAGCTAGCGATGGTAAAGAAGGAACTGAACAAACAGTTGTGGCTGCACATTCGGAACAGCCATTTCAAATGTCACACGCTGGTGTCACGCATGCACAGCCAACCGTGGGCACTGCTACCTAAGTCTCTGATTAGAGGTGCAGCGGCGCTCAAACACAGAAGGTAGAGCACCTGGGGAGAGAAAGGGCTCACTCCTCGAAGAATCCTGGTTTCCCTTTTTCTTTTTATGCTGACTCCAAACTGAAGTTACTAGAAGATGACCATTTGTGCATGTCCTTTTTATTTTTTTATGCTTGCTTGCACTTTTAGTATCTATCATTGTGATTCATGGTTCTTTAAGACTGCTCTCACCAGCACTGACAACGCCGTGCTGTGAACACAATGTGCAGTGCCTTGCCCTGAACAGAGGCCTGAAATAACTTTACCTGAACCGCGAGATGGCAAATGACAGCAGTTGCAGTTTCATGAACTAATGCTGCCTTCTGTTTCCAATGTATCCCCAAATTTATGTCTCTGACCAGGTCAAAATGAACTTAATTACTAGCCTGCTGACAGGAGACACATTAGTCTGGGCCTCCCTGTGGTAAAAGGTCATATATGCCTTTGTTCAATCAATGTCAACTATCTTCAGTTGATCCACACTGTGCTTGAATGACCAAGGCTGCCCTGAGGGGACGAGCAGGGCAAAACACAGTCACTTACTATCCAGCATACTTCTGCTGCTTCATGGCAGAAGCAAT